AACGCAAAGTGTTACTACGCATAGGCACTGAAGCACTGAGAAAATGGAGAGGCCGAGAGCGCCCTTCGCCCGCCTCCTGCGCGACGGCAACGGAGGGGGTCGGTTTGGCCGGAATCTCAAAACTTGCCCGTTGCGCAACCACTACCGCGATACGTTGAAAGGAAACTAGTGTGTGTGTGTGTGTGTGTGTTTGTTTTGTAAATGAGGTTGCCCTCAAGAACAAGAAATAAAATCTGGAAGCCTCGCCCATTCCCCAACAGATATGTATATCTATCACGATAATAATGTTTGGGCCCCTCTTCTCTCGGAATGTTTGTGTGTGTGTGTGTGTGTGCAGACGGCACGCAACACTGCCCCGCATTTACTGTTGGTAATGTTTAATCAAACCACGGGCAGGGTCGATACGCAACAGCATCTTAGGGCTTTACGGTGTACACAAAGAGACGGTACTTATCGCTGTCGCCGAGAAGCGTGTGACGCACCTGCTCGCCCCACGCGAACGCGTCCCCCTTCGTATAGTGCAGCCGCATGTAAGGCTCCAGCCACGTGATCTGCATGAAAGCGCCGTATCCCTTGGCGTGTCGCAGGAGCCCATCGACGCCGTGCAGCATAGCCGCGATGTCGTCCTCCATCGTCGGACTCTCCTTATCGGCCACCATTGCGTCCATCACGCCCTTGTCAATAATCGCGTCAAAGGGACCCAGAGAACGAAACGCCTCAAGACGGCGCACGTCGCCCACCCGCCACGTCGTGTTTGGCAGCACCTCGGGCGGGTACTTCGCCTGCATGTTCGCGATGACGTTGGGGGCGTAGTCCATCGCCACCTGCTCCAGGGTAATTGGGAGCTGGCGCGCCTGCACGGCCTCGTGGAGGTCCATGCAGAGTGACGAGTTCCCGGTGCCCAGGTGCAGCACGCGCAACACCGGCCGGCCGCCGTGTCCCGCGCCGGCCACCGTGGCACCCCGCGCCTCACGCAGCCCAAGCACCTTCTGCAGCTCGTCACAGAGCGCCAGCACCACAGCCTGGTGGACGGACGAGAACCATTCGTGCTGCGCCTCCCGGCTGTAGCGCCACTCCCAGTAGCTCTGGCGGCTGTACTCCGCCACGTCGTCCGGCTCCATCGGCGCAGCCTTGCACGTGTAGTCCCGAAAGCAGTGACAAGGCAAAAACCACACAATAGAGTGAGGAAAAAGAAAAAAAAGTCACAGAAGGCGGCAAAGAAAGAAACGCTACAAAACAAAAAGAAAAACTAAAGAACAATATATATATTAGGCGCCTTACTTTTCCCTAATAAAATATAAGAAGAGTGAAAAGGAAATAGTTTAGTTTGCTTTTCATGCTTTCCAATAAAGAACGCAACGAGTTCGCCCCAGTAAACAAACAGACATTCCAACGCAAAGTGTTACTACGCATAGGCACTGAAGCACTGAGAAAATGGAGAGGCCGAGAGCGCCCTTCGCCCGCCTCCTGCGCGACGGCAACGGAGGGGGTCGGTTTGGCCGGAATCTCAAAACTTGCCCGTTGCGCAACCACTACCGCGATACGTTGAAAGGAACTAGTGTGTGTGTGTGTGTTTTTGTTTGTAAATGAGGTTGCCCTCAAGAACAAGAAATAAAATCTGGAAGCCTCGC